TACTCCTTTGCTAGTCATTATGTTAATTTCATCCTGACGTGCTAATACTTGGTGTGACAAATTGACTTAACTCATATCTTTGCCAGTTTCTATATATGACTGATTGATTGACTGAATTAATTAGTGCTTATACAATACATACAATCGCTTTACTAGTCTATTTGGTTGTGTTTTTTCTAATTCACGATATTGCATGAAATTCACTCTGTCTCTAACCACAGATGCAAAACGTATATGAGAGAGAGTGAGAGAAAGAGAGAAATAAACAAATGTTTTCATACACATAAAATTTTTGAAACCTAGATGATAATAACGCTTATGTTAATTAACTTTAAATATCACCGTGAAAGTATGTACCACTCTGAAATATTCATAAGAAAGTTCATTATATATGAGTTGTGTTTTTCTTTTTTTTTTTCATTACCTATGTTCTGACATTTGTACAATCACTTGATATAAAAATTAATGAAATTTAATAGTTACCTCTGTATGATTAAAAGAGAAAAGAAGTTAATTGAACTTGTTCTATCCTGTATAAGTTTAGATGAATGTTTTTCACAGGGTATTGATTATTATAATAAATTATTTATATGTAGATCACTTTCTATGTTTACAGATGTAAATGAATAATGGATGTAATATAAATTACTCAAAATGACATTCTATATGAAGTACATAATGGAATTAATTAATTTCTTGTTGAAACTTATCTAAATAAATGACTAATTAAAATCTACTTTTAAACAAATAAGAATATATATATGTTTACATGAGGAATATCTATGTAACTCTTATAGAAATAGAATCATATAGTTTGAATATGTATAATATTATGTATTTTGTTTCATTTCAATGATAAAATTGAAACTTTCGATAAAATTATTCTACAACAGAAACATAAATAAACAAATATATCCTAGATTTTAACTCCACCTGTAGCTCTTCCACAGTTACTGCCGGTCCCAAGCCCGGGTAAAGGAGGAGGGTTGGGCATGGGGTTAGCGTCTCCATCTCGTAGAAAACTAACTCGCTAAAAACACGCTTACCAGAAGAAATAATTCAAAACGCTTACCGTTATAACCAAATATCAAAAATATACTGATGACGTAAGTTTAGAGGCTAATTGATGGAAACCTGCTCAAGACGTAAATATTGCAACAAGCATTGATCGGTTGTATCCCAGAAAGTTACAAATTCTTATTTATATATTAAATGTTTAGAATGATACAGGATCTTTGTGTGTGTAATTTATGTAAGAAGGTGTATTGAAAGAGTATACATGTGTGTTAGCGCAAGGGACGTAAGTTGAAAAATATCTGTTTTATGTCTAATAAAATCAGCAGCTTAATTCCTCAGATCGAAGACATAACAAAAAAATGTGGTAGCAAATACGAGGGAGAGGTAACCACCAACCTCCCGTGAAGTGTTATGCCTATGTGTATATCACAAAGCGCAAGGGTGAAATCCTTTGCACCAGTGATATTCAAATAATGCGAAAAAGACATTCAGTTATAGCAAATACGTTTGAAAGGAGCGGTGACCATCTACCTTTCCAAGTGGGCGAATCTACCTATATGCATGCTAAGGGATGCATGAGTGAAAACTTGTGTGTTATCGGTGTGCATGTAACGTATATTTGCTCACATCGCACGTATACCGAAGTGTATACCAAAGGATACATGAATCAAAACTTGTGTTACCGGTAATCACATAGACTGTACTTGCTTCTTGTGCGACGATCGCGAGCCAAGAACTTGGGGTAATCATGTACCCACAAAATCACATCCATGTAGTAGGTTTCTGAGCCATGAGAACTGAAATCATTTCCAGAAAAGCCGACCTTAGTAATAATTCGTAAAAACATTTCCCCACAGACAGCCAGCTATAAACGAATAACTAGACACTGAAGACCGTTGAATAGTTATTTCTAACATTCGATAGACTGAAATGGAAAAACTGACCGGTTTTATTTGACCACTAATTTTATTTAACTGCTATCAGCTGACAATATTCATAACTGAATTCCAAAATGTTATTCAATCCAAGAGCCGTCATTTGAATATGTAATTAAAATTTGAGAACACAAACATAGAGTTTTGAACTGATAGAAGAGATTTGTTGCTCACGTTTATGAACTCAGTAGTTTTGAATTTTCCCAAATTTTTGTAGTTTCATTGTGAAAAATTCCAGTACCACACGCTGAACATCATTCACAACGCCTCAAAAATATGTTATAACTTAATTCATTAGTCACAACCAATGTAGAACATGACATATATCACAAAATAAGACAACGTGCTGGATGATTATTCGTTAAGAGAAATTACAAAATGTTCACATAATACGTAGACATAGCTTACGACCAACCATTTGCGTACATTAAGCTATCCAAACTATATCATCTAGTCATCAAGTGTTCTGCCTGCGCCATGCTTTCGGTGTACTGAACCTCTTCACTCCGTCTGATGACTGCGACAACTAATGGGGCACATTCCGCCAAATACTGTTTACCAGCCATCTTAAGAGTAGTGTTCACTACAATTTGTGCATTAGTTCAAGCTGCCACACTATATCAACAAAACGAATAAAACTATGAAGACAAATTTCACAGTAGCAGTAGCAGTGGTAGTAGGAAAGATTAAGTGCAAATAATATTATAACAGAAAAAGAGAAAATAAATCAGACACACAATGCCGGAACAACTTATCAAAATAGTCAGTCGAAGTGTTGATGCATATGTCCAGAAGACATTTAATAGCAATCCAGTTCATTAAGCTGTCACTCCACCAATGATTGAAGAAATCAGAATGGTAATCAGACAAATTAAATTCAGAAAAGCAGCAGAATCTGACAATATACCAACTGAAGCACTACACTCAGATATAGATGAAACTGAGAGTGTGCTCAACGTTTTATTCAGGAAGATTTGGGAGGAATAACAAGTGCCGACAGACTGAAAAGTAGGATACCTCATCAAGATATCGAAAAAATGAGATCTGAGAAATGTGAGAACTACAAAGGCATCACACAACTGTCAGTTCCAGGAAACCTTTTCAACAGAATATTACTGAGGTGGATGAAAGAATCAGTGAATGCACAACTTCGAAATCAACAGGCAGGATTCTGTAAGCATAGGTAGTGTACAGACTATTGTTGAACAATCAATTGAATAGAACTCTTCACTATACATCAACTTACTTGATTATGAGAAAACATTTGACAGCTCAGATAGAAGGACCTCATAAAAAATTCTTCGATACCACGGCGTACCTGAGAAAATCGTCATCACCATACGGAATCCACACAACGGACTACAATGCAATGTCGTGCATGGAGAACAACTGACAAACGCATTCCAAGTGAGCACCGGAGTCAGATAAGACTGCCTACTTTCCCCCTTGCTCTTTCTTCCGGTGGTTGACTGGATTACGAAGACCTATATATCTGGCGGAAAGCATGGAATACAATGAACAGCTTAGATGCAACTAGGCGATTCGGACTTCTCAGATGAAACACCCCTTCTACCCCATACCCACCAACAAGTGCAGGTCAAGACAACTAATGTAGTAGAAGCCTCTACAGCAGTAGGCGTCAACATACGCAAAGGAAGAATATAAGATCCTCAAATACAACACGAAGAACACCAACCCAATCACACGTGATAGAGGAGCTCTGGAACAGGTGGAAACGTTCACGTACATGCACAACATCATCGATGAATGTGGAGGATCTGGTTCTGACTTAAAGGAGAGGATTGGAAAAGCAAGGTCAGCATTCCTACAATTAAAGGACATATGACACTCAAAACAACTGACAACCAAAATCAAAGTCAGAATCTTCAATGCAAACGTCACGACAGTTCTACTGTATGGAGCTGAAACTTGAAGAACTAACATGATCATCATCACAAAAGTACAAGTATTTATAACCAATTGTCCACTCAACATCCATTGCCTGGATACCATCAGCAACAGCCTACTGTGGGAGAGGACAAACCAGCTTCCAGCTGAAGAGGAAATTAGGAAAAAACGTTGGGAGTGGATAGAACATACATTGAGGAAATCAACAAACTACATCATGAGGCAAACTCCAAGTTGGAACCTTGCAGGGAAACGGAAAAGAGGAAGACCAAAACCACACTGCACCGAAAATTGGAAGCAGACATGCAAAGAATGAATAACAACTGGAAAGAACTGCTCAGGATAGAGTTGAATGGAGAGTGCTGGTGGACAACCTATGTTCCTCCAAGAGGAGTAACAGGTGTAAGTAAATAAGTAAGTTCATCAAATCAAAACAAGTATACACTTGAAAAGAGATCTTAAACTTCACTTTCCTTTAGAAACACAATGTTAAAGGTTGCCCCACCTGAACGTTTACAATAAAACACCTTCACTCAGTGAAAACAATATCACTAAAAATATATTTACACGAACTGTGAATTTTTCCTATTATTTCGGTAATAAGGTTTAGCACAGCTTAATCAAGCATTTCAGTTTAAACTAAAATGTCTACTACTGAAATAAATTGAAAGTTGTTTTCTCTTCATCAAACTTAACCAATGATACATTTTAACATAACATACTACAAACGCTAAGAGTAATAAGTTTTCTTTCAAAAAAGATTCTGTGGAAGTATTCGTTCTTAATAATGCATAAATCTATAGTAATGTTTCATGGAACAGATCAAGCACTTTTATTCAGAAGCGGTATTTAGTATAGAGCCATTTGTTTGATTCCTGAATAATTTATAGCACTCAACTAATTTAAACTAAGTATGAATGTAAGTAAAGCTTAATATGCGGCTTCTCAAAATATCCGCATTTATATAGTAATGATTACATAGGTGGAATAAAACTACGAGAATTTAACATGTGTGAACAAAATGATAGTAACTAAGTTCCTGAGACAAACACCCAAACTAGATTAATGTTTTAAAATTTAACAATAAAACTAAGCAAAATGTAGTACGATATAAATACAACCATATACAGTGCAACGTACCAAGATTATTCTTCATGTTGCGTTTTTCATCGAATGGAGTACCGCGTATGATCAAATCATAAATCCTAGTCCATCCCTCTGTGTCTGACTGAAAACTCCATAGCAAACTATTCCCAACAAAACCGGCCCGTGAATTGTCATATTCGCTACAAGCAGGTATGCACAGAGTAGAAGATTGTTGATATGTACAATTGTACAAAGATCCAAATAAACTTGTTGTGTTTCTATCGAATCCATAACCAATGCTTATAGTTTGTTTAAGATTTTCGGGTTGATCAGCTGTTACAAACACGAAATTTCGAAACTTATTATCATCGTTCAAATGGTCAGTACAAATTAAAACTAATATACAAGTTTTATCGCCTGATTGTAAAACAATAAAATATCTAAATACCCCATAAGCTTCAACTATGTCATATCAATAGTGGCAGCTCTTCGGATAACAATCAGTAGAAATACATGTTTCTATGAGGAAAAACACAAAGTAATGAATGTTTAATGTTTCTTACATATTAAAAAAAGCTTGATCAAATGGGAGAATAAGTTTGCAATATTTAAGTTATTCATACTACCAATCAAACTATATGCAGTAAACTAGCTACAGTGCAAATAACTGTTCATAATGTGCCTTTGATAGGTGTTTGTTGATAAGTTTTGTGATTGAAAGTTCACCTGTTGGTTGAAATAAAATGCTTGAAGTCTGTAATTTTTTACATGGAATAAACATATTGCTAAGTGCTAGTTGTGATCTAAAAGCATAGAAGCAATCTAAATAAACTAGACGTTTTCAAATGAATATACGCTACATACTCTTTCGTTATATTAAATACTAATGCTGACTTTAAGCTCCTTTTTGTGTTATTTGTACTATCCAAGAAAGCTAGCTTATAAGTTGTGAGAAAAGCAAACCACATAAAAAACACATCATGCTACTTTTCAGTAATTTAGAGATATTTAAGGCAGAGAAAATGTTTGTATATAAAGTTTTAAAACACCAATCGAGTGAATTTTGTGCTTGATTTCATTTGTCCTTCAAATAAATGTCCCACTTTCATTTGAAGTCAAAGATATCAGGTGTGACAGAACATAGGCTGAAGATAACTTATTTAACTACGCACAAAACCGGATACAAACACTTTTCTACTAAAAAATTCAAATACTAGAAACTGACAAATTTAATCAAGTCTTTCATCCCAACAAATGCTGATCAAATGAAATTTACAGAATTTTCAAGTTTATAATACTTTCAGAAGCATACTTTGATGAGAGTACTGACAATCTCACCTAGAACAGCTCAATGATTCGGAGTTTTGCAGTAAACCAGGTTAATTACCTAAAAGTCAATTTTAAATCACTTTAAGAAGAGTCCACGTATTTTCGAAATATCTTAGGTGTAAGCAAGCATGTCGTAAACAATTTTTCAGAAACTTTGTTTACAAGGCTACTAGAATGAACGACTTAGTAAGAACTCAATTATGAAAACTCACTAATCTAATTTCAGTTAAAATCCAGCAGAGCTGTTTAAACAGTTCATCAGATATTGTGCTACTTGATACTAAAATTAAGTTATTAATATGATTTCTCATGAGAAGGATTGCTTTAACTCTAACTTTCATATATAAACAGTTTACCGGTTAAACGTATCTCAAGTTAGTAAACTTGTTTTATCCACTGTCTAGATCCACAAGGCATTTTGTGATTAGTTAGGTCTAAATAACAAACCTGTTCAGCAACTACACTATTTAATGATCCAAAGACCAAGAAAAGTATGTAAAAAAATAGTTTTAAACACCTTAATCCATTTTTGGTATACTTTTGTGGGCTGTGAGTTAGCATTATCTTGCCGCTTACCAAATGATGACTTTAACATTCAGACATCGTTTTAATTTCTCCTAACTAAAGCGGATCATTTGAAAGGATGTTATCTGTTTAAAAATCATGATCAACTAGTTTACGTTTAAAGTTTTGTAGTTTGCGTTGATAAGAAATAGGACCTTAAATCGAAAGAGATTGAATTAGTAAGTACTGGTGAAACAGTGGAAGGGATATTGGATTTTCTTTATACTACAAATCTTGAGAACTATATGTATCAGTCACATGGGTTTCATGCATAACCAAAGAAGACTACTTTCGAGAAGCGTTCAGTTGTACAAAGATCTATGAGAACGTATAACACCTATCAAATGAGGTGAAATACAAAGTAGGTCTTTCACTTAATTCCATCTGAATAGAAAGAAAAGACGAATCAACACATTCAAATACCGTATCTGCAAAAAAAACGTAAGTAGGTTTTACATTGTAAATGAAACACAAAATTCTTTTACCACACACTACGTATACGACCTCGGGTTTATTATTTAAATAAAACTCAAGAGTTGCTGAAGATAATACAGTGTAATAATTACGTATATATTTGAAAAAGTGGGAGTAGTTTACCAGCACTAAGTCAAAATGACGGGGTAGTAATTTGGACGCTTAACGTCCATATTCTTTTAATTCACCCTCAGACAGGATGTCCCCAAGGAACTATGACGTTATCGGACATCACGCACAACTTATCTATAGTTCACTTCCGTCTTATTCAGTCAGTCAGTCAGCTACAAAAGAAGACCAGGCACATATTCATCGGTCCAAGTTGCCATACCTCATTAACACAACAAGATGGACATCGGATTCATAAAAGTAGTTAATTCAGAGGTGGTAATATATAAAAGAAAGATTGCAATAAAGATATAGTACAGGAAGAAAGAATTAGTTCGTAGAAAGAAAGATACAAAGTGATTTTAATCTCTTAGTTTAAAGAAAGGTAAAGAGTGTATGCACCTACACCACTGTGATCGATTCTGAGCCATGTCACCAAGAGTCTCCAACCATTGGTTACGATAGTCACGTGGACCCCAACCAAGTAGTCTGCATCTCCCAACATGGCTCAGACTAGAAGTTAGTGACTTCAAGCACTGATGCCATGTCTTGGTTTGACCACGCCTAACTTCCTTCCAACCATCCCTAACACTAGTCAGCATTGCACGTCGTGGTAAACACTGTTCAGGTATACGTAATAGTTGGCTCAAACATCCCAGTCGATGAAGATTCACAACTTCATCAACTTATTTACCATCATTCCCTAATACCCTGGTGTCTTATCTCACTATTACTTACCCGGTGATCCAAGCAGAGGCCAGCAATATTTCTAAGGCATTTGTGGTCAAATACTAGTAGCTTACAGGTGTCTTCTACTCTTAATGGCCATGTTTCGCTGTCGTAAATTAAGACAGAACGAACTGCCGCGCAGTATACTCGTCCTTTTGTTGATAGACGGATATCTCACCTTCGCCAAAGGTGACGTAAGTTGGCAAAAGCCAAAAGAGCTTATCGAATCCGTGCTGAGATTTCGTCAGACACCAACCCATTAGGGCTGATCAGACTTCCAAGATAAGTGAAGCTGTCAACGCGTTCGATTACTTCACTCCCTATCCTTAGTTCAGGTGTTGACGCAGACTAGTCCTGAAGCAACAACTTGCATTTAGAGGGAGAGAAGCGCATTCCAAACATTCTGGCATTGTTGCTTAGTGCTACCAGAAGATTCTGCGTTTTAACAGCGTCTTCACCAAACAGTACTATGTGATCTGTGTATTCTAAGTCGATAAGTGGACCTCCTGGAAGGAGATCAATGCCCGAGAATTCAGTCGACGAGAATGTTCTTTCCATCAGCAGGTCTATGATGAAGTTAAACAGAAATGGAGAAAGTGGACAACCTTGACGGACACCACTTGAGGTTTCAAAAGCAAACGTTCGCCATAAGCCCTGACTCGACTCGTAGTGTTCGAGTAAAGAGCCTTCACGAGGTTCATGTACTACTGACACACTGCCACAGAACCTTTCAGTCTATGGAGTCAAATGCTGCTTTTGAATTAGGGAAAACTATCATTGTCGGACGTCGATAAGCATGTCTGAGTTCTAAAACCCGACGAATAGTGAATACGTGGTCGATGTAGCCGCGACCACGTTTGAAGCCACCTTGATTCTCTCGTGTTTGCAGTTCACGAGTCTTAGTTAGGCGTCCGATGATTATCGAGGCTAGTATTGTAGATACTATATTAGTTAAACTAATCCCTCTATGGTTGTCACAGGATGATTTTAACCCTCTCTTATATATTGGGACGATAAGCGATTGTGACCAGCCAGATGGAATAACGTCTAACTCCCAGATCTTAGCTAAAATATTAGTCAACCTAATCTCTAAAATTGAACCACCATCCTTAAAGACCTCTGGAGCCAATCCATCTGGACTAGCTACCCTTCCTTGTTTCAGATTAACTATAGCCTTTTGAACTTCTGCTAGAATTGGGGGACCTACTTCAATGTTTCATTCACACTGTTTGGGAATGGAGGATGGTTGTAGATTAGATGAACGGTTCTCTGAAATGTTCCGCCCATCGTTCTAAGCGTCTGGACTGGGGAGAGATGAGAGTGTTGTCTTTTCCCGAAATAGTCTGACTTACACTTGACTTATTAATTCCAGTTTCCTTTATTAGTCTGTAGAGCTGTCTTGTGTTCTCTATAGCCGCCGCCTCTTCCATCTCTTTTGCTTTCGTTACCCACCACTGCTCACGGTCGTTCCTTAGACTTTTGCTTAACCTAGATCTGATTTTTTTACGCTCTTCATCGTGTTCTGAACCTGATGGGATGAGTTTACGAGAATCTATCAGTGCAATAGACCTTGAAGAAATCCATTGGTTCTCTGTAACCCTGTGGTGTAAATTCCTGATAGTTTTTACCGCTGTTTCTTCAGCTGCTTGTATATCTTTCCAAGCAACATGTAGGTCAGCATCCTTTTCAGAACTACCTAAGTGTGACCTCAGTTGTTCCTGGAACTTACTTTTAGTTTTCTTGTTACTCAGTTAAGTTATAATGGGTGTTTTCAGTGTGGCATTTTTGCGTCCAGTAAGGCGCAAGCAGATGCGTGCCCGTATAAGTCACGGTCGAAGTCCAAGCAGGTAATCTAGAATAAGCGACAATTTCCGTCTAATTAGTCAAAATATTTTCTCGAAAATATATTTTTTCGATAATATTGTAAAATACACCGAAGGTTACATCTATATTTTGATGTAGTTTTGTTCTCTGAGATAGGTGGTTTCGTCGCGGAGCCTTCATCGTTCTTCTGAACGACAACAGCACGAACCTAACGTATATATATATATATATATATATATATATAAGATTCTAAGCACAAAATCCACTGCAGAAAAATAAATAACTACTATGACTTCAAGTTAACATCAAACCGTTTCATTTTCTGCTTAAAAAGAATAGTGGCTCAATCTCCCTATTTTGAGAAAATTTTGGGTTTTCAGCAAAGTCCAATGGTCTATCGCAAAATTTACCCAAATTTTGGGGGGTTTTGTGACACTTCTTCAAAAGTTTCAAAAGCAGATTTCCCCTGATCTCCCCAAAACGGATAAAAATTTCCCAAATTCGGGAGATTGGAAGAACTTAGATTTGCCAGTACTGTAGGTATTAATTGATAATAAAGTCAATGAAAGCCTTGTGACTTACAAGTGATCTCCACTGAACTGACTTGATATAATCCGCCAAGATCAACGATCAGATAAACCTTTTGATTTAATTGAGCATGGAAAAGCCCATGTGTGTTTTTATCGTTATCAAACAGGTCTTGTAATTGTCTTGCAGCGAGTATCTTCGTCAAAAGCCTATGGTCATGTGCTTTTATATCAACCAGGTCAGCTGATGATAAATAAGATAGCGTGTTGGAAACAGAAGTAAATAGAAGCAGGAACAACTGTAAGAAGTACATGCTCAACGACCTTAACTTCAATCAAAATCGTTCTAGCGTCTGTAACGTTACAACAGTAACTAATAAAAACAACATCGATCTACTTTTGTGTAGTGGTCTAAAGTTAACGTCAATGCACAGTTATTATCTTTATTTATTTTCCAGCAGAAAAATCTATAAAAAATGCTAATATGAATTTCTGCTTCTCTTCTTAGATAATGTTCTTCATGGCGTTGTCTTAAAATTGCGGATGAAAGTTTGTAGTGGCATTGGACCATAACCACACTATCCTCAAAGCTGAATACGAGATTACTCGGAAAATAGGTATTCAATATTTAACGCGAAGAAATACCTAACGATGGAGAAGGCGCGAATAAGGAATTGAATAGACTAGAGTTGATCGAACGGCATGGCTCGGCCATGCAGGCGTGGTCTCTGCTGAATGTTACCTTATATCTTCTTTTCATATTAAATATATTGTTCTTTCTCTAGCCTAACCTTGTTCTACATCATGTATTGCTAATTGATACGATACAGTGAGTTGGTGTAGTCGATGGTATGACTTCCACGTAAGATCTTATAGATTAGGCAGCCATATCATGACAAGTCTACAGATTTAGGATTAGGTCTATTATTAGAGTAGTAATAATATCATAGTAGACCATAAATTCTACAAGTTCTTAGTCCTCAATCCTCAGCAATAAAAATAGTTGATCAGCAGAACTATACTAATCCTTCCAGCTTGTTTGCCAGCAAAGATCTCCGTGAAGGTGTTCACTGATGGAGCTGATCCCACTAGTTCAATAGTTCACTACAGGGATTTAGCACTCGATGACAAAAACAGAATGACATTCTGCATTTATTTGACCGTGATTTTTTGTTCTTCTTATTATTACCCTAGAAATTATTACCTAGGTAGGGTAAGATGCATAAAGTATCTACGTCAAAGCACTCGAATGGTCAATGTAGTGACTATAACTTTCGAAAAACCATTTTGTAAAACTTGACTAAAAGCATTTTAAAAGAATTGACTCGTCCCTACAAAGAAATTTCTTTGTAAAGCTTTCTTCGAATTTCAGGATACTACAACTAATTGCCCTCTCAATAGATATAATGAAGCATGAAAAGAGTGGTAGATTTTTTCACAACGTTTGCACGATATTTATTATCAATTAAAAACTATGTTTCCAGTCTGAAACAAAGTACTACTTTTAAAAACACATTGGAACTTGATAACTAGCTGTGAAAAACACGTAGAGTATCTGTAAAAACAAACAAAGCTATTCCACGATGCTCTATGTTTCACGTGCTGTTGGAAAATACTATTTCCACAAGTACCACTTTACAAGCTTATCAGGTAGTAACGAACTATGGACCGTGGGTGAGGCATCGACGCAACATTTTAAATGAATATAGTTTAGAGTATTGGTTGCCAATCAAAGAATGAGCATCAAGAAGGGTATAATAAAGTGTAAATGATTACCAGAGTAGGCGGAAAAGTCAAAGAATGTGATATTTCGAGAAAAAACAATGTGTGATAAAATAAAATGAGTGTCAAGTCAACATAGTGGACATAAACATAGAAAGCTGATAAAAAATAGACAAGAAGGAAATCACACCAACTTGATGTTATTTTGTGCTATCCTAATCGGTTGATGGAGACATTATGCGTTACCTCTCAGGTTTCGGAATATGTACCAGTCTCCAAATATAATGTGAATATTTTGTGCAATAGAATTCGTATGTCCGTTCCTGACATTTTATGAGGAATTGATAGGATGTCATCGGCACCAGAACTCTCATTCGGCTTGATGGTTTTGAAGGCGAAATCATGTGAGGCTGCCTGAATAAATGATAGCTGAACTAGGAGTGTTAGGAGCTCAATATATACATCCAACTAGTACTTTACATACATGAATGTGTACAATAAGCCACATCGAATCAGGTAGTTTGCTGAGGATATCACCACTATAGATTTTCACTCTCATATTTTCAGATGAATATACAAGACAACCACCACACCTTTTAGAGAATCTATCACAGAGGAAGAACTCATAGGTGTCTATTTGGAGATATGTGTCTGTGACGTCGGAGTACAACCAACTTCCCGTTATCAAAACAACTAAAGGGTTGCTTAACAGTAACAGGGTGTGTAGCTGAATCATTTTGTTTCGTACAGATTGAGCACTGATTAACATAAGCGACAGATACGGTGAGTATTTGTTTAGTATAAGGGTGTGACATAGAACTTGTGGATTACCTGTTTTACCATGAGGCGAAGAGAAAGAAGTAGGATTACCGCCTCCATATTCATATTCGTTAAGTTTATCATCAATATGGCTAGTGAGAGTTTAGAGGTAAAGAAATCGCCAAAATAAATAGTCCTATATGTCTTGGACATTTTATGCTGAGTTCATTAGTTTTATTCAACCCACCTAGCTGAAGGCATTCGGTCACGCATCCACACCAGATCACATTTGGGTACGCCGTGCTACACATTCTCTAAAACCGCCAGCCAGCTTAGATTGATCACTTCCCGGAATTTCGAAATTCTATCAAATATATCTTCCAATCTTTTCGCTTCTGACTTCTAATTGAACTGGATTAGCATATTTTGATTATCAAAGGTGTATATGGTTAAGGCGGTGTCAAACTACGAATACTTGTGGCATCTATAGGAGAAAGGTATTCAAAGTATAGTTTTGCAAAAGAAGTTTGTTTATGGCGTTATTATGAAGTGAGACAAGAACCACTTGCACCTACAAACCTACTGTTTGTTTCTGCTATAACTGTGATGCTACAGATTAGAGGGTGGCGAATTATCGATCGGACCAAAGACGCGCAAACACGTAGAACGGCCTAGGGTTCTGATTGGTCCTACTTCCCTGTCTATCCCAGCCAGTTGAGTCCAGAACGCAAGTCACAGCCTCTGAGATATGAATCATTATATTTCGAACACACTCTGTTTATATACTAATCAAGCAGACCACACAAACCAGATCCCAGTGGAGGAAGAAATCAGGAAGAAGCGCTGGAAGTGGATAGTACACACACTGAGGAAAGCACCCAACTGCGTCACAAGACAAGCCCTCACATGGAATCCTCAAGGCCAAAGGAAAAGAGGAAGACCAAAGAACACATTACGCCGAGAAATGGAAACAGATATGAAAAAGATGAACAAGAATTGGATGGAACTAGAAAAGAAGGCGGAGGACAGAGTGGGTCGGAGAATGCTGGTCGGCGGCGTATGCTCCATTGGGAGTAACAGGCGTTAGTAAGTAAGTAATAAGTAAATAATAACATCTCCAAGTCCAAGAATATTATTAGACTTAATAGGATAATTTCTGGGATAGTTTCCTGAATATCCCAACAGATTCTGGATACTCAACAACAGGATCTAGGGTGGCATAGACTTTGTCCAATTACTAATGAACGAGATATGCCTTAGAACGTGATTAGGTTCTTCTTCTACATGCCTCCAACTAAACGTACGACTTCTGTGATGAATCCACTAGTCTTTGTCCTATTCTTGTCTTATCAACCTCAGGTTAATCAAGCCTATTAACTTCCAGTTCAAAAGAGGAGTAATCACAACATTGTTATGGTAAAGCTAATTACGACCATATTCAACCGAACTGATAGACCAATCTGTCCCTATTTTTAGAAGATCAGTTCGGGAACTATCATGTCGACTTATTTTTTCAGTCCGTAGGCTATGTTGAAGTTACTTATTATCCCTTAATATTCATAAACGCGGTAAACCTCATCAATGGTAGTTTCATAAATTCGTCAGCACTATACATTCTGGTTGGTCGGGTCGTTCACTGCCAGACTAAACAATAAAAACAGGAACTTAGTATTATTATTCAATTCAAGCTGAGTGTATTCCAGCAGCTCATTGTCCTCAAGTTCATCTGGAAAGCAACCCTAAAAATATAGTTGTGAAACCATTGAGAAATTTTAGGAAATTATTTACGGCCTGTAGTGGGCTGATACTATGTCAATCCCATGTAGGTTATTCTAGCCTCTGAACAGACTAAAATATCCATTCTTCTTAAGCCACATTTATACCCTGTCACTTATTAGTTTATTGACCCTGACTGGATTTTTATATGAACGTTTGTGTGTTAGTTACTTACCCAAATCATCATGTGTCTGTAACTTATTTTGTTTGACACTACATATCAATTCATGCTTGGATAAATTTATTTGGCTCACTCGCCTTATCCACTGCACGTCTCTTCAATTCACTTCGCTTCATTTGATGCGTTCCCCTGATTATATATCTACGTCAATGAGTGTACGAAATAACGTATTCACACTTCATTCTCGCAACTGAATTCTTTTAATTTCGTTCTTCACTAGTGTTAATTAAGTCAATGATTAAATACGAGATTATCCAAGATGCATATTTCGAAAGCAGTCAGCAAACGATCAGATTGGAGTCAGACACGTGGTCACTAAATACCTAGAAAAAGGTCTCATCCTCTAAATAATATGGATCATGTTTTTCAGAATGAAATACTATTAAGAATAGAACATTTCGACTGTAATGTAGAAATGAAAAACATACTAGTGATGCTCAATGCAAACCTGTAGGTCTTTGAAAAGCGGAGTTTTATAGTGTTCAATATCATAGTAATAACGAAAGATATAAACAAACCCTTTACAAATTTCATCACGTCTGTTTCGTGTAGAACCCAGTCATTCTGTTACCTGTTCACCAAAACCTTGTTTCAAGTCTGTAAGTTTTCTGAATCGTCACAGCTAGCTGCAAAACATTTCAAACTATGTAGAACATCTGTCGAGTAATATTAAAAAATGAAGTGTGCTGAAGATAGCACAGGTATTCAGTGTTTGACAACGCTTTCACCAGCAAAACCTTCTAATATAATTTGTACCCACCGAGAGAAATCAAAAGACAGAGCCGAGGAGATCGGAAAAGTGTATTTGGCGATAACCAATATATCGGAATTCTCTGATCTAATCTGACTAGCGATTGCGGTAGATGTTGAGCACAGCGTTACCACACGTGATCTGGTGCGGATGCATGACCGAGCGCCTTCAGCTAGATGAGTCCACTAAAATATATGGTCAGCATCCAATGTCGAAAACCTACAGAGGTGTTGGGGATTTATTTACCGCTACAGATCACTTCCCCCCTAGTGGGGCAGTGATGACCCTAAGACATGGCCAGCCAGAAGTTTAAACCCAACGAGTTTGTCGTTGGTAAACACTCTTCTGATAACTTACTAAGATTAGAAGCTTCTGGTCGTCTTTCCTTACTATATGGGACCGAGGTACA